GATATGCAAACCCCTCTATGATTTCGTGTCAATCCACCAGGCACTACCCCTTTACTCTCCAGCCATGGTAAACTAATACTTTAGTTCTCTGAAGGGCTTGTACAACTCATGCTTCCATGACTTCAAACAGAAGCTCTCTATGTCATGTGTCCTTCCTCATTGGCTACTCATCCTTTTAAGACAGTCCAGGCACCACCTCTTCGAGGAAACTTTCTTTAAGTGACATTCATCCCCAGTGTAGGTTAAGCCTCTTCCCTGCCATGTGCTCGATCTTACAGCATCCCATGTTTAAATAGAACATATCACACTGCATAATCACTCTTATTAACTCTACTTGATTAATTTCCTTGGAGATAACAATGTTTTATGTACATATAGTTGGTGCTAGTTAAAGAGACACTTGACTAAACTTTAAACAAACACATTCCTTCCTATTCTCTAAATGGTGGTTCTCAAAATTTAGCCTACATCACAATCACCTGGAAGACCTATAAAACTTAGACTGCTTGGCTCATTTCCAAAGTTTTGGATTCAGTTGTTCCAAGGTGGGGCCTGACAAGTTTCCAGATGATGCTGTTGCTGTTGGTTCAGAACTATTTTTTAAGAATCAGTGCTCCAAATGTACATTGTCTCTTCCTAGCTTTAGAATTTAAAGTGCCTTCTTTTAGATGCTTCCAACTCTGCCTCCTGCAATCCTGATCTTTTCAGACCCAGATCAATTGTCACCTCTTTCATAAAACTTTTCCTAATCCCAGGTGAAAACAATCTTGCTCCTTCTTAAATTTCTATCATGCTTTATGTGTACTATTCATTTGATACTCATCATATGCTAACTTATTTCACAGTTACTGGCATTTGTCTTACATTCTCTACTGAAATGAACGTAGAAAACCTGCCTTAATCATTGTAATATCCTCCACAACAGAGAGCACAATAACAAGTAAACAAAATCTACAAGTATTTGTTTATATGAATGAATCCCTGTTGCTTGCCCCAGACTCAGGGCCCATGGTCTGCCTTACTTAATCCTCCTGGCCCAAGCTGACTTCCTTATACTGCTTTACTATCCTGTAACAGATGCCTGATCCTTCCATACCTGTCTGTCCCTCTCATTGCTGACTGACCCTTAGTCAGTTTCTTAATCTTATTAACTTTCTCATTCACCATTGAACAAAATGAGTGAATAAATTTTCTCAGATGTGAATTTAATTCTGCTGGTTGTAAGACAGGCTCCTTGCTTTTTTCTAAAAAGAAAAAGTGGCTTTGGCCACAGAATCTGAACTAGAATATGATGTGTAAAACTTTACATACAGTTATAGATGGCAATAAATTTGCTTTAAATTCTAGTTGCAGATCATGGAGATGGAAAAAAAAAAAACCCCTTAATTTTAAAGTTTAAAAGCACAAAGATATATAAGGCCTTTATAAAATTTAAGGTTTCCTTAAGAAACAAAATGTCAAACAATTACCTTTACATTATGTTCATATAAGCATCCAGAACAAAATCCATATTATGTATTTCAACAAAAACGAATATAAAACACCTGGTTCAGGGGAAATTCTTAGGAGCTCAGTATTTACACAATTTGTTTTACATATAACATTCATTATCCCTGTATGTTTAACAACTTAAAACTCAAATAAGGGTGAAGGGAGGGGAAGACTAACTTTCAGGAAAAAAAAGAAATAAACTACTTTTAAGGCACCAACTAAAATTAATACCTGTCAGAAAAGATCCCTGAGAGATTCAATTAAATCTTACAAGCCTTTTTACTTTCTCCATATTTGAACTAGTGATATTTCACAAATACTGTAAATGTTGTTGACAAAATGTAAATAACAGTAAGAGTTCTAACAGAGATTTTCCAAACGGTGTGAAAGTTTTCAGAATTGTATGTTCAAATAACCAGATCACCCCAAAGCCTGATTTATTTGAATTAATCGATATCCCTATGGCAAAGTTGAGTTACGGGTATGGTCTTGATACTTTCAAACCAGTACTGTATTCAACAGACCAAAATAACCCTAAAGTTGGAAAGCCAATGCCAACATGAATTACGTAGCTGCTGAAATGCTATTGGGAGGATGAAAGAGAGAGAGAGAAAAAAGAGCCAACGGTTAAATCAGAAAATAAATACTGAAAAGGAAACTGGAAAGAAAAGGAACATAATGACCAGGCAGGAAACAATATCGTCTGATACACCACAAAATATTTTAAAAGACAAGAAAACAGAGTAACAGGAAAACAAATTTAAGAGCTAAAGGAGAATCTCCCAAATTCAGTCTGTTGTTCAAAAACACAGGAGGGGAGCACCGCAACGGAGTTACTATTTGGAAACCATACCACTTCACTATAAAATATATAAACAACAAATGGCTACAATTTTCCTACCCTTTGTTCCTCAGTATGTGTTGTTTATAAACCTAAGTAAAAACATTCCCTGCAATGAACAAAGATCTTCAAGATCCTGACATTCAAGTAAAGTATGTGCATAAGGAAACTCTGTTAAAAGCACTGAAATATAATTCTTCACTTCTAAAGACTATGCCAACAAAAACATTATATGATGAACGGCTATGATCTTTCTAATTTGTTTTGTGACTTTCTGGGGCCAAAGCTACCTCTTTTCTGCCTCGAAACTTGGGAGGGAAAAACTTTCTCTACATCAAAAGCAATCATTTAAGTTTGCTCCTAATCTGGGTTTTAAGTGCACCAATAAGCACTTACTCATTCGCCCTGTATTTCAAATAGAAGCTGACTTACCTGAACATTCTAATTTCACTTTCTTCCCTCACTATCACAACCAAATCGATTTTAAATTGTAAGCAACACGATTTCTCCCTTCACTAACACAGCGTATATACTGAAACACTTAAATTCTACACACAGGGTGGGATACCATACAGTGAAAAGATGCAAGAAATTACCCAAACGTCAATCACTTTAAGTCTTCTGACAACTGTTGAAAGACTTTTAGGGAAAGCGTAACAACCGAATCACATGATGGAGCATCTGATATACACGGAACAGCACTCCAAACTTTCTCTACTGTGTACACAACTCTTGATTACAAAGAGGAAACTAACGACAAGGGCCTCCCCGAGCGAGAGAACCGGTAAGGTAACAGCCTAAAAGGGCGTCGCTGATTACTGGGCTACAGCGACAGAGGCGGGAGACACACCCCTAGCGTCGGTCTGAAACACTACAGCAGCGAATTCTACCTAGGGATTAATATAAGGGTAAGGAAAGACAAATTTAAATCGCCATGATTCAAAAACAACCACTCCAAGAGAGAGACACAGTAAGGTAACAAAGAAAATGGAAAAACCTTTGGTAGTAAAAGCAGCATGAAAAAATAAGCGTCCCCATTTCTCCGAGACCAAGTTCGCGTGTGTTTTCGCGAATATACACCTTGGTTGGACCTTTCCGGTTGGCCAGGGCAGCGAGGAAAGCAGCAGCGAAAAGAAACCCCGCAAGGCTGCGCAGGGCAGCGAAATCGACGCTCGCAGGAGAGGGGAAGTGAGTGAGTGGCAGGGTTCCCTGCCAAGACTCACTGCTGGGAAATAAGGAGTGAGTGGGAGCAGCAGCAGCTCTGGAAAGAAAGTGGGTCTTATGTAAAGCGCCATTTGCCACATATTGTTATTTCCATAGGATTTCAGAATACCCTCGAACTTGAAAAACAAAGTGTGTGTGGAGGGGAGAGGGGGGGCTCCACGTGGAGGGTCGCGAGATAGGGAGAGTGCCGGGCTACCGCCTGGGGTGCGGACGGGGGTCGAGGCCGGGCGGGACCAGCGGCGCGGGGGTGGGGCGGCGGCAGGGCGGCGGAGGGGCGCCCCGCAGAGGCCAGTCGTCCCGCCGCCCACCGACGCCCCCGGGCCCCTGCGGGTTCGCTCGCAAACGTCGCAGCTCCGGCCGGGCCCGGGTCTCTGGAATTTTCCACCGGGGACAGCCGACCTGGGGCGTCGGGGCTCGCCCCCACACCCGACCCTGACGGCGGCTGGCGGGGTAGGGATGGTGCATCCAGGAAGCCAAGGTCTCACCATTTTGCTCGGCGGTTCGGCGGCTCGCTGGCTCGGAGAAGTGTCGCGCTCAGGCGGGCTCGCAGGAAGCGACGGCGGCGGGGGCCCACTTGCGGCCCTCGAGTCGCCGGCGAGGAGGGGGCGCGCGTGGGGGAGGGGAAGCGGCGCCGCAGGGCCCTCGCCGGCCGGGTGACTGGGCACGCGAGGGACCGGGCAGGGCAGAAGGAAATAAATTAAGGTCGAGATTCAGAGCTAGAGAGCGCGGGAGGAGCGGCGGCGACAAGCAGGAGAGGCAGAAAGGAAGAAAGGAGGGGGAGAGGGGGCGAAAAAGGCCGGGCGCCTCGGGGGCTGCAGCCTTGGGCTCGCGCTCGCGCCGGAGCCGTGACGGACTCACTGCAGTGGCTCGCGCTGACCCACAACCTCAAGGCACGAAAAAGGGGGAGGGCGGAGAGGGAGGGGAGAGCGGAGCGCTGCGGCGCGCGGGGCGGAGGCGGGGACGCGCGCGAACCGGCGGCGGAGGCGGGGCTTCTGCGAGCGCCGCTCATCCGGGAACCCGCGCGTCCCGCTCAGCAGCGGCTGCCGCGGCGCTCTGGCGAGCTCTGGTTGGGGAGCGCGGAGCGCGCGGACCACGTTCGCCCCTCCGCCGGCCGCCCCTTGCGTGCGGGGAGGGGAACAGGGGCGAGAACGTCGGTGACGTCGCGTGGCGGAGCCCTTCCTGTCACGTGGCTGGGGGCGGCCGGGGAGGAAGGCGAGTCTGGGAGGGGAAGGAGGAAGTGCGAGGGTGCCCGGGAGGGAAGAAGCGTGAGGAGTGCGCGAGCGAAAAGGGACTTGGGCGCTGGAGTGGAAGCCTTGCAGGATAGGAGGCGCAGAGGAGCGGTCTTAGGGTGTCAGAACCACCGGGACGCCGCGCGCGGGCGCGCGCACACACACACAAAATGGAAAAATCCAAGTCCTGGGGCTAGAGGCAGTCAAAGGTATCTGTGCATCCGCGTACTGTCTTGGATCCACTACAGAATTGTCAGGACTGCTATCACCCCGGTGCAGCACCCGCAGGCCCATCTGTAATATGAATTGGCAGAGTCAGGTACCAGGTTGCAAAGACAGGGAAGTGAGCCAAAGCTGGCCGCAGCTCGAGGCATGGGGAGAACCTGGACAAACGAGGACTGCTTCCCACTCGCAGAAAGACTTTCCACCCAGCTCTGCATTCCCATAAACCGTCCAGACTGCCCTTTGGCGGGGTCCATCGGTCTTTGTTTAAAAAAAAAAAAAAAAAAACTCGAATGTAGATTGCCCGCTTATCCTTTTAGTATAGCTATATTCACTCTTGCGGCAATTCTCTTCCCAGAAAATTCAGACTACAATAGGAAATGACATCCAGAAAAGCAGAAGGAGGAAATTTATGTTGGAGAGAAGAAATAAAGCTGGCAGGAGAGGTGTGATGAGGATAACGAAGGAAGCATTTTGCATCTATTTTAACCAGTTATTCGTTTTCACAAGCCTTGATAATCCCCCGCATTATTCCTCTGTGTGTGTGTGTGTGTGTGTGTGTGTGTGTGTGTGTGGATGTTTTTTGAGTGATCGTAAACTGCTTATTAAGCCTTTGAGTCGTTTTATAAAAGGCCGTTGTGTGTGTGTGTGTGTGTTGTCTTAATGCTCCTTACATGAGAACTTTATTCTTTTTCTATACTAATTATTTTTCCATATGATGAGCATGCATTTTTTTCTAATAAACACCCAGCGATGTGCCCTAGGGGTAAATGGTACCCCTTTCTCTGTAAGTGTGTGCCTCTCTCTCTCTCCCTATCTCTCCCCCTTCAGAAACTACTTTGCTTCTATGTCAGGTTGAATAAGGAAAAGAATTTAGACATAAGCTGTGTCACACAGTGAATGTAGCAAGGAAAGGCCAACAAGGGACACTTTCTTCCACAAGTTTCTGGATTTAAATATGTTGCTATTTGATACTAATATATTACAGAACAGTTAGGAAAAAGTCCCTAAGCTATATGCATGTTACGTTTTCCAGGTATACTATTTAAAATTAGTTTTTTATCATCAAAGACCTGCTCTTTAAGAAAAAGTACTATATGAAAGATTCTTCCTTTCTCCTCTTACCAGAGGTAATCATGCTAATTGCATTTGTTTGTGTCCCTTGGACATTTTCAGTGAAAAATCATATTTTGACTAAAGGGTATGTACTAAGAAGGAATTCGAGCTATGTATGGAATACAGTGGGTTTAAAGTAACCCATAATTTTGTTGTGGCAAATAATTTTTGTTGAGGCAATTTATACTAGTCTGAATCCAGTAAGATAAGTAAATCCTGGCCAGGCCGGGTGGCTCACTCCTGTAATCCTAGCACTTTGGGAGGCTGAGGTGGGCAGATCACCTGAGGTCAGGAGTTTGAGAACAGCCTGGCCAACATGGTAAAACCCCGTCTCTACTAAAAGTACAAAAAAATTAGCCCAGGCGTTGTGGCAAGCGCCTGTAATCCCAGCTACTCCGGAGGCTGAGGCAGGAGAATCACTTAAACCTGGGAGGCGGAGGTTGCAGTAAGCAGATCTTTCCGTTGCACTCCAGCTTGGGCAACAAGAGTAAAACTCCATCTAAAAAAAAAAAAAAAAAGGAAAAAGTAAATCCAAAATACGCTTTAATAAGTTTTCCCCCCAAGGCTGGAGGAAAAAGGTATAATAAGTAGTCATTCTCCTTTTTGTCTCTTTCCATTAAATTTTGGTATAAAGCTTAGTATGAGTGGGAACAGGTACCAAATAGTCTTGCAGAAGCATACGTATTTTTAAATATGTGTGTACCAACTAGCCCTGCTAAAAGCATACATGATTTAAAATAACTAGATAAATGAAGAGGCAATGGACATATCTTTATGGCTTATTTTTCCTAGAAAATTTAACAAGCTCTTAAAATGATTATCAGGAAGAATTATTTCAGCTAAATTGAAGGGGAAACAGTTAAGACAGGGATGCCAGTTACAAGAATTAGTAACAGGTAGGCATGAGGTGATCAGGAGTACCATGGCAGAGGAAAGGAAAAGCGAATATAAACAACATGAAGGAAAAATGGACTTACTACGCAACTTAATGGATGCGTGGAACAGAGAGGGAGAAGTACAAGGTGACCAGTTATAATTTTGATGACAGAAAATAGTGTTACCATTAAGAGAAATGGAGAAGTCAGAAGTTTGGCTATTGAGAAGAGATTAGTTTAGATTTAAAGATGCAAAGTTTGAGTTGCTGATGAGCTATCTCAGTAGAAGCACCCAAATAGAAGTTGAAAGTACAGGTTAGGTAGGAATAGAGATGTGGGAATCAACTTTAAAACAGACATTAAAATGAAATCTTCAAAGATGTTCTTATTTAGTTAGTGATAGGAGAAAGAAAGGACCCAGAGATAATAATAAAGCTGCTAGGTAGAAAGAAAATGAAAAGAAAATAAATTTTTAAGAAAGAGAGGGTAGGCCAGGCGAAGTGGCTTGCTCCTGTAATCCCAGCACTTTGGGAGGCCAAGGTGGGCAGATCACCCGAACTTTGGAGTTCAAAATCAGCCTGGTCAACATGGCGAAACCCTATCTCTACTTAAAATGCAAAAATTAGCTGGGCATGGTGGCACATGCCTGTAATCCCAGCTACTTGGGAGGCTAAGGCAGGAGAATTGCTTGAACCTGGGAGGTGGAGGTTGCAGTGAGCTGAGATGGCACCACCAATGCACACCAGCATGGGCAACAGAGCAAGACTTTATATAAAAAAAAAAAAAAAGAAAAAGAGGGTAATATTTACAGTCATGTTTGACCATAGGCAGCTTTAGGCTTCTGTGTCTCAACAATTTAGGAAGTTAGAATGTCACAGGATATTATTTCCTCCATAGACCTTCAAGATAATAGTGACTTTGAGAAAGTTGCCTTACTCTTAAAGGACTGATCACTGCCATTAATTTATATATAATATTTAAGGGATGCAGAGGAAGCAAATTACCATTTCTGTAGTTTAAGGTATTTAGAGTATTACTCCCCAAATAGTCACTTTTAGTAATGATTATGTTTACTAACATCAACTAGAAACTATGTTTGATTTTTCTATTCTTTTTGTATATAGGAAAAAAATGCCAATTAAAAATGAAAGTCAGTTAAAAAACACTGGAAAGCAGTATCTGTTCCTTTTTAGAAGAGAAAGTTAGAAGAAACTTCAACCTTTCTTCTTAGATAAAATGCATGCCCCAGGTTAAGAATTCCAGGTTTAGGAATACTTCGTACCTTTTTCCCACATTGTTCCATACCACAAGATTGCCTTCTCAATATGCACTGAGGTTGCATGGGAAATAGATCACCTTCCTTCCCAGAATCCTTGTTTGTAGTGAGGAGAATGCAGGGATGCAAGCTAGTCCCACGTTCCAGGGTGTGGTTGAGAAAGGGCTTCTAGGCACCTGAGATGCCAAGAGAAGTGGGTCATTCCCTTCCTGCTAAGCAGCAGAGGTTTTTGCCAAGGAACTAAATTCCATCTTGGAAACTCACTTCTCCATAGAAACCATTTCACAAAGAGTTCTATAAACAATGGCCTTCCTGCAAAATGCCTACTTAAATTATAATGTCGCTGAAATTCTGTATACATAATACTAAAAGTCCAGTGGTAGAAAATAATACTCTTAAATATATGTATCTTTGTGAATTGATGCATTTAGAAAAAAAATGTATTCCAAGTATTAGATGGGTTTTTCCCTTTAATTGTACCTATAACTACTTTTAAAATTATGAACTTTGTATTCCAGTTCCCACAAGAAAATTAAGAATATTGAATTTGATCAAAATAAAGCCTTCTATCACTTACTTTTTAGATGAAATACAAATTAGGACAATTTTTAGGAAAGGTTTCCTAATAAAAAAAATTATGTGATAAATTGGTTACATAAGTTGTTTCTATATTATACAGTGAAACAAAAAGAAAAGGAATATGAAAAAGACTTCTAAGATTAATTCCTAAACCTCTTGCATTCACATCTAATTTTGTGTATTGGAAGCAAAACACACAGTGTTTTTAAACAGTTTTTTAACACTCTTTACATAATGAGCTTTATTCTTTTTTATGCTAATTATTTTTTCATATATGAGTACATTACATTTGGATAATAATCTACATAAAAATGACTTGAAATCAAGAGAGAGAGGACAGAGATCAGAGGGTGTAAACAGTATAGAGCCGGGTCTAGGCAGAACTAAAGGGAGCATCTACATTTCAGTGGCAGAAGGAAAAAAGAAGTGATAGGAAAGATGACACCAACCAGAAGGGGCAGGAGACCCAGTAAGGATACCCTGGAAGCTGAAAGGGAGGAGTTCAAGATCAAAGATTGATCAACATCATCTAGTGCAGTGTGACTGGGGGCATCCAGCAGTGTAGTCAAAGAGGACCAAGAGAGATGGAGGTGTCCATTGAGATGTCCTAGATTATGTCATGACATTGTTTATCTGAATTAAAACTCTTATTTATTTGGTTTCTTGCAGATAAAAGTGAATACCAAGAAAAAGTCTGCTTATTTGGACTTCTGTAGTATTTCTATTTTACTACTTTACTAAGAGGACTTTATACCGTCTTCTTAAATATTATAAAATATAATGTAAATGTAAAACAAGTATGGCACTAGAGAATACCTATCTGTCATACTTGTTGACTCACTAATGTGCATATGCACTCAAAAATATCTGCAGGCTTAGCTCCACACATGAATCAGTGAGACTGGAGTGAGACCCTCATTCTAATCTCACCTCTGGCTCCAGGCCTTCTTTTTTTTTAGACAGTCTCCCTCTGTTACTCTCTTAGTTTACTACAGACTCCGTCTTCCAGGTTCAAGCATTCTCCTGCCTCAGCCTCCTGAGTAGCTGGTATTACAGGTGAGTGCCACCAGACTCAGCTAATTTTTTTGTATTTTTAGCAGAGATGGGGTTTCACCATGTTGGCCAAGCAGGTCTTGAACTCCTGACCTTGTGATCCACCAGCCTCGGCCTCCCAAAGCACTGGGATTACAGGCATGAGCAACCACACCCAATCCAGGCCATTTCTGTGTGAATTTTGGATAGTCATCTAGTCTAAGTTGCCTAATAAGGTAGTCAATAGCCACTTTAAGCTATTTAGGCTCACGTTAATTAAAATGAATAAACATTGAGTTCTTCTGTCTTGTGAACTACCTTTCAAGTGTTGGATAGCTGCCTACCTAGTGGCTACTATATTGGACATTGCAGAAAGTTCCATTGGGCAGTACTCATCTAAGTCCTTTGCCTCAAAGTATTCATCACCAACCACTAATATAATGCTTGTTTATTATAAAGGTAGGCACATTTCAAATATAATTAGTTAATTTAAACTACCTTAAGTGCTCTTACAATTTGAACAAACATAACTGAAACCCCTTTAAAAAAACAGAAAAATATATTCGAGCTAATGAAAACATACTAATATCAGAATACATACATTAGGTTTTATATATATGAGGAACTAAAGACAAATGTTAAAGAATATTGTCAATATTTTTACCAAAATGCATATATTATTTGTTAAAAGTGTCAAACATATTACAATGTAAAAAGATATGTTGCAACAAATGTAATAGAAAATTTTAATTTATAAAAATATTTTAGCAACTGCATAACCTTAACACTTAATTTACTTCAAATATTGTACTTTGTTTTCATGAAAGATTTTTATTTTTCCCTGTAATCCAATTTTCACATTTTACCACAGCATTAAGATAGATTTCAAGTAGCAATCAGAACAGTATAGAAAATTTTAAAATGCAGAGGGCATGTATTAAGGGACATTTGGGTCATCTCACAACAATTCTTAAGAGATCTTTAATAAATAAAGGATTAGGATTTCAGTTTTATATTCTATCTAAAAATAACATTTCTTAATACTGAATCAGGACTTTGTGCTTGAACATACTGAATCCAGTTCTTTCAACTGTCAAAATTTTTCTCAGGGAGCTTTGATGGTAGACTGTGGCTTCTAAAGAAAAGATAAGAGTACAAGCTATTTTTGGAAGGAAAGAAAATGAGTAAATTAGTCAAAGAAGATTGGTTTGGCATAGAATATTTATTCATGAACTCATCTGGTATTTGAAAAGGTATATATTGCAGGATCAGGCTGACCACTAGATAAGGGAACATTATTTTCAGACTATAATTTACATGTACAGGGATTAATTGGTTTTGGATGACAGGCCTCAGGAGTCCCCACTGACTCCTCTTGGGAATAAGGAGGCAATGCCACTGCAATACCATTCAGTTATGAGTAAACAATGACAAGAACGTAAGTTAGGGTGTCATTTTCTAGGTAGGGATATATACAGAGCAGGAGACACTTAGGCCATATATTGGGCATTAGTAAGCTGCCTTTGCCTGTCCTTTATTTCGGTTGTTTCCACTAGAAGAAAATATTCTGAACATTGCACTATTATTTTTGAACAAGCCTGTTCTCTCTTGCCTGACTCGGGACACTGGGTAATTGTTTAGTAGCATAAATGGAATAGCTTAATTCTAAAATATCCTTTGGGGAGACAGTATTGGATCATTAACATGGTTGTTATAGAAGATGTTTTAACTATGGAAAAGGGTAAAGGAAGGAAAACCATCTGTAATCATAATACCATAATCATTATTTATATTTGGATGTATAACCAATCATATATAGAATGTATAGAGATATAGCTTTTTAATTGGAAATTACTGTTTTAGTAAATATTTTCCACTTAATATTTGGGAAATATTCCTCACATCTTTTAATATTCTTTAAGAATATTTTTAATTTTCTATATCCAACTATATTAGTATATGCCTTAATTTATTTAACAAATGCCTCATAAATTTTGATTTTCATTGTTTTCAGTGTTTTTCTATTACAGACATATATATATCTTTGATAAGATCACACTTCGTGGCCAGGCTGGCGTGCAGTGACACAGTCACAGCTCACTGCAGTCTCAGCTTCCTGGGCTCAAGCAATCCTCCCTCCTCAGCATCATGAGTAGCTGGGACCACAGGTGCATGCCACCATAACCGGCTAACTTTTGTATTCTTTTTCTTTTCTTTTTTTTTTTTTTTGAGACGAAGTTTCGCTGTTGTTACCCAGACTGGAGTGCAATGGCATGATCTCAGCTCACTGCAACCTCCGCCTCCTGGGTTCAAGCAATTCTCCTGCCTCAGCCTCCCGAGTAGCTGGGACTACAGGCATTCACCACCATGCCCACCTAATTTTTGTATTTTTAGTAGAGACAGGGTTTCACCTCGTTGACCGGGATGGTCTCGATCTCTTGGCCTCGTGATCCACCTGCCTCGGCCTCCCAAAGTGCTGGGATTATAGGCATGAGCCACCATGCCCGGCCTGTATTCTTTTTCTTTAGAGATGGGGTTTTGCCATGTAGCCCAGGCTGGTCTCAAACTCCTGAGCTCAAGAAATCTGCCTTCCTCAGCCTCCCAAAGTGTTAGGGCTACAGATGTGAGCCACTGCACCCAGCCAGGAATAAACATTTTCTATTTAAGTTTGTGCCACTGTATATTTCTACCAGAAGCACCCATTTTCCCACAGCTTTACAAACTATATATTGATGTTTCCTTATGTAGGCTTTTAAATAAGTGGTAACTCATCTTAATTTGCATTTCTTGGTTTAATAGTAATATTGAACATTTTCCAAAGTTTTGACCTTTTACATCAACCACTAAGAATATATCCCTGTGACTTACCTGTTTATTGCCCATTTTTCTTGGGGAAATTTGTCTATAAGAACTTTTTGTATATAAAGGATAAGATCCCCTTACATCTGTTAGGATGATTCCCCCAAGTTTATAGTTTGACTTTTGATTCTGTTTGTGGCATTTTTAAAGTTTATTTTTCATCCTATATATGGGAGAAAATACAACATATGAATGACAACTAAAGAGCTCATATCCTTAATATACAGGTATCCTAGTTAATTAAGAACTAGTTTTTTCTTATTATTAATCTACTACTTCTGTGTTGAAAATTGCTTATATATTTAATGGCTAGACTTGAAGGTAAAATAGTAAATTAATAAAAACTTTTTACTTACAGAACATGGGTTAATTAAGTCTTAGTTGACATTGGCTACTTTATCTTCTATTGAATAACAATACAATCCATTGAAAACTTCATTTTGACTTTAAAAATAAGCAAAACTAATTTATCAATCACTTTTTCAATGAAGGGTCAAGTAATGTATGCAAATACTACCTTAAGGCCACATAATGAACTACCCATACAACTGACAAATGAAATCTTCAGAGATTTTTTTTTGATGGAGTTTCACTTGTTACCCAGGCTGGAGTGCAATGGCGCGATCTCGGCTCACTGGGTTCAAGCAATTCTCCTGCCTCAGCCTCCTGAGTAGCTGGGACTACAGGCATGCGCCACCATGCCCAGCTAATTTTTGTATTTTTAGTAGAGACGGGGTTTCACCACGTTGACCAGGATGGTCTCAATCTCTTGACCTCGTGATCCACCCGCCTCGGCCTCCCAAAGTACAGAGATTTTTTTTTAAAAACACAGCTGAAGATAATATGGTCTGAAAATGTCATATGATATAGGGTCAACTGCATGTGTTATTTCGTTATAATTTGTACCAGTTGCACACGTAAACCACATATGCATCTGGTGATAAAATGTTCTATATTTCATATACATTGCGTTATAGCATTTCTCTATCCAAGCACATATACCATTCTCAAAATTATGCAAAATTTTATATCATATTGTTCTCTCTCTCCCTGGTATCCTAAGTCAAGTAATTGACAAAAAATAAAACCAGCCATTCATTTGTACCTAAAAACAATTGCAACCTGTATCTACGTTCTATAAATGCAATAGAAGGACTTGCTTCAACAAAAGTAACATCATAACTAGATATAGTTACAAGTCTGATTTACAATTGAGGGAATTGATTCCTTCTGTTTTCCTGGTGGAATAGATTTTTCCTTGTTCAATATTCTAAATTAGAAATATCTTTTATAAAAAAGAATTGACTGCTTATATCAGTTCTCTTTGTAATAATTAAACTTCTCATATACATTTGTTTTTTATTTTGGGGCAAATTTGTTGGAACAAAACTTAAAATATTTGCTAGCACATTATAATGTTCTTCCAGGAAATAGAAGAGTAATCAAAAAGGTATATTTTGAAGAAATACACTTGTAGAAATAAATACATATAATTTATGTATATACGATGTTATAAATTGTTAAGATGTAGAAAATGAGCCATGCCTCCTTGTTCAACATTTTATCACTAAAATTAATTAGTGTGCTTTAAAAATAATCTGCCCTTTTGAAAATAATTTATAAATGTGTATAAGATATATAAAATTTATAATACCGTAAGTAGAACTTATTTTTGTGTAAATGGCAAATTATACTAGCACTAAAATTCTCAAGGTCAGAGCTGAAAATTGCACTGTAGGTACATTTTGTGCATTTTATTAGAATGAGGAAGTTGGTTGCATTTCTGAGAAAATACTTAAATAGTATATTTTTGAATAAAAATGAAATATTTGATTTTTTTGAGTGAATTCCTCATATTCTTTGATTTTAAAGAAAAGAGTTCTCACAAAATCAAAGAGTTCTCTTAACCACTCAAGTGACAAATCTGAAGGAAGAGAGGTGTTGACATATAAGCAAATTACCTATATTCCAAAGCAATGAAGTTTCAGGGCCGATTCCACTTTATTTAATTTTAATTCTTCAGCTAAGACAGTGGAAGAGGTGATTTATTTTATGGTTGTTACACTCGGCCACAAGTAAACACAGAAATAGTCCAGAATGTCACAGGTCCAGGGCAAAGGACCAACATGGGCAGTTTTGGTTATGAGCAAGGTGGGTCTCAGAGGTGATCGGCGATCAGATGGCGATGAAGTTCTAGATCCATTGAGACAAGCTCTAGACAGTAGCATGCAGTCCCACAACTTGTACCAGCATCCCCAGCGTCTGGCATTCCATGTTTCTGCTCCTGTGGCCTCCATGGTGCAACAAGCTAGCGGTTTACTTGGACCTCTGCCTCATCTTTCTTCTTTTGCGCTTCAGCCTGTGCGTTCATTTCTTCCTCCACTTGGCTCTCATGGCGCAGGGGTTTCTACGGCGAAAAAGAGAAAAGCTGCAGTTAGTTTGCTGTGATGATGGTAAGTCCCCATTCCACTTTAGGCACAAATTTTGTTGGTGGTGATTTTGCTTAGTTTAATTTGTTTTTCCCATTATATATCAAATTTGCTGCTCATTTTAGTTCCAAGACATCACTGTAATCATTAGTTACCCTGCCTGAGAAGAAATAATCCTTTCTTTTACTATCAGTATATTTACAATTAGCAGGGACTTGTGTCCTTTCCTAGCATCAGCATCTGTATAAGCATGGTTTGCCAATTAAAAAAAAAAAAAAAAGACTTTGCAAAAAGTAATGGGGAATAGTGAGGCGTTAAGAGTGCGGAAGCAGTAGAGCCTCCAGCATAACAATTGCACCCACGTCCTCCCAAAAATTCGTGTTCAAGCTATATGCTTTTTGGTCATCGTTCCTCCTTTCTTGCCTACACTAATCTCAAACCCTGAGCTTAGAAATCCCCAACTTACACCTGTTTCCAACCCCGTCTTCTAGCCTTGCTTCTTTTTATGAAATCTTGTAAAGCGCTGAAATTAGCAATTATAGTGGATCTACCCAAGAGCCAGAGGATGGTTTTATTTGCAGAAAGCAGGTAACAAAAAACACTTTAAAATCGATTGTGCTGTCTACAATGCTGTGTAAACATTTTATCAGAATGAGGAAGTTGGTTGCATTTCTAGGAAAAATATTTAAAGTTGTATATTTTTTAATAAAAATGAAATGTTTGGTAAGTAAGTTTTGTTTTTCAGTGAATTCCACATGTTCTTTGATTTTAAAGAGCATGCTCAATTTTCAATTCCTCACAAAATCAGAGTTCTCCTTTTGACTGAACAGAACCTCCCCATGTCATGTAATTGGATAAATTGTAACCAAAGAGTACTGCCCACCATGACATGTTGTAATCTGCTTTTCATTACAAAACTAGCTTGATGTTATGTGACATTTCTTATTTTTTATTATTTATTTTTTGAGGCAGAGTCTCTCTTCTTTCACCCAGGCTGGAGTGCAGTGGTGTGATCTTGGCTCACTGCAACCTCCACCTCCAGGTTCAAGAGATTCTATGTCTCAGCCTCCCCAGTAGGTGGGGTTACAGGCGTGTGCCAGCACACTCAGCTAATTTGTGTATTTTTAGTAGAGATGGGGTTTCACCATTTTGGCCAGGCTGGACTCAAACTCCTGACCTTGTGATCTGCCTACCTCAGCCTCCCAAAGTGCTGGGATTACAGCCATCAGCCACCACACCCAGCTTTTTTTTTTTTTTTTTTGAGACGGAGTCTCACTTTGTCGCCCAGGCTGGAGTGCAGTGGCGCAATCTCAGCTAACTGCAACCTTTACCTCCCTGGTTCTAGCAATTCTCCTGCCTCATCCTCCTGAGTAGCTGTGATTACTAGCATGCACCACCACGCCTAATTTTGTATTTTTAGTAGAGACAGGGTTTCATCCTGTTGGTCAGGCTGGTCTCGAACTCCTGACCTTGTGATCCACCTGCCTTGGCCTCCCAAAGTGCTGGGATTACAGGCATGAGCCACTGTGCCCGGCCAAGAAACTCTTCTTAATGGTATATCATAAAGAGAGATTGCATGAAGTGAAACATCACATAATGGTATTGATTTTAAATTAAACCTAAATATATAAATATTCAAGGTCTAAGTAATGGATAGTCTAAGTGTACAATAAAGCCTCATTAATCTGGACAGCAAAGATGTTGAATTATTTGCCTTTAGCAGATGCTTTGAGAAAAAGATTGGTTTTTGGAGACCCAGACAAAAAGATCCTGATATTCAAAGGTTATGTGTTCAAGAATAATGATTTATGAAATTTAGGTCATGAGAAGAGTCTCAGAAGTGGTGGAGATGGGCATGTTCTTATAACAGAGTAACATAGGCATTGGCTATAAAAGACCTATGTTTAAATAGTGATAGGCAGGCAGGTTAGATACTATGAATACTGAGTTTAAGGACTTTGAACCCCAACAGCATACTCCAGGACCCAGCACTGGTGGAGAAGCATTGAGAGATCGAGCCTGGCTGGTTAGCATGGAATGAAGAATCACAGGTATGACTGGAAGAGCAAGGATATGAGTATTCATAGTTTTTAAAGGCACAATTTTAAGTACTTTGAAGCCCTACCATGTGCTATTTTTAAGTCTTTTCAGTTGACTTAGTATAAGAAGAGTGGAGATTAAGTGCTGGGGCTGGAAGTTTAACCTAGGTCTGTGTGACTCCAAAACCCAAGCTTTTCACCACTATGTTATACTGCCATTTAGTGCCTAACAATGGGGGAGGGGAGGGTGCAAGTGTGTGTACACACGCATTATACATTTCATTAGATATTTCATTTTCTTTTCTAAATAAAATAGGATCATGCCGTTTCATAACTGCTTTTCTCATCAAATCTTTTGTTCACATAACTCATTAAGCTTTGGAGAGCTCTGGTAACAATTGTTCAAGTTATCTGAACCTAGGTCTAAGAACCATGTGTAAATAATAGCCAATTCCCTCCATAAATAATAGTCCCAGAAAGCCATACTAAAGCTACCAATGACTTGGCAATTAGTCTGTCATCCAGTAAGCCCAGAAGTTGCAATGAGAAGAGAGATAATGGTCCAATTTCTCTGACTGTCAAAACAGTCAAGTCACGGAGACATTTTGAGACATTCGTGACCACAGATTCTCAAACATTTTCTCATTTAGAACATTTTGGGCTATTATATAGAAATGGCAGAAATACAGTTTTCTCTGTTGTTCTAAGTGTATTTCCAAGATACATGGGAAACAAATATGTGGAGTAAGAAAATGAATTTTTAAACTATCATTTTTCAGGCCGGGCGCAGTGGCTCACGCCTGTATTCCCAGCACTTTGGGAGGCCAAGGCGGGTGGATCAGAAGGTCAAGAGATCGAGACCATCCTGGTCAACATGGTGAAACCCCGTCTCTACTAAAAATATAAAAAAAATCAGCTGGGCATGGTGGCGTGTGCCTGTAATCCCAGCTACTCAGGAGGCTGAGGCAGGAGAATTGCCTGAACCCAGGAGGCGGAGGTTGCCGTTCACCAAGATCGCGCCGTTGCACTCCAGCCTGGGTAACAAGAGTGAAACTCCGTCTCAAAAAAAGGAAGAAAAAAACTATCATTTTTCGTTTAGACCACAATTATGCTTTTTGTTCCATTGCTTGAACGTGTAATCCTGCATAATACTGTTTTGTTGCTTCAAAGTTGGCATTGTATTTATAAAATATAATATTGAAATTAAAATCTGAGAAGTAACTGAAATGAAAATCTGAGAATAAGGTATTGAAATAAAAATCTGGGAAGAAAAAGCTTTTAAAAATCAATTTTTATTACTCATATCTCCAGTTTCTCAAGTTTAGCTGTTACTCTTAATGAAATTCATGAAGCCCATTATAGAAAACAAAAGAGACAATAAGCAGCTCATAAATGAAAGAGCCTGAAAAAGGAAACATTGGAAAAAAACAGAATAGGAAGAGGTTTTGTTTTGTTATGGCCTTTGTGCAGACCTCTTCTACCTTATCTGGAAAGGCTGCTAGAGCATTTGGGCTGTGGGTGAGGTCATGTTATAGGTTAAAGCCTTTATTTTTAAAGGAATGATTTACTTGCTATTTATTATTAATAAGATCATTATTGAACAAAGCCAGAGATCTTAGTGATTTTTGAAATGTAAAACATTTCATTACCTTTTATTTAACATTATCGTTTCTTCTTCTTCTTCTTTTTTTTTTTTTCCCTGAGACAGAGTCTTGCTCTGTCACCCAAGCTGGAGTGCAGTGGCCAGGTCTCAACTCACTGCAAGCTCTGCCTTCTGGATTCAAGCAATTCTCCTGCCTCAGCCTCCTGAATAGCTGAGATTACAGGTGCATGCAATCACACCTGGCTAATTTTTTTGTATTTTTAGTAGAGACATGTTTTCACCATGTTAGCTAAGATGATCTCTATCTCCTGACCTCATGATCCACCCACCTTGGCTTCCCAAAGTGCTGGGATTACAGGCGTGAGCCACCGTGCCCGGCCTAACATTATCATTTCTGTTTCACACTTTCCAATACAGAAAGCTAAAAGAAATACCTTCTTCCTCAAAACAACATTATCCTTAACTGGTAACTATTCAAAAAGTACATTTTAATTTTTTTGAAAGTCTTTCTTTAAAGGATAGTTGATAATAAATTGTACTATGGTGATACATTGGTTTTAGACACAAATTTCATTTAAAACATTTCATATTTGGAACTTTTGATCAGGTTGGTTCTTTTACTTGAGGTGCTACCCACATTTTGAAGTTGTTCTTAAATCAAGGTAAGCAAGTTGCTCCTAAATAGAAACAGACTGCAGTTGATTATCAGAATATTAGCATGGCAAGCTTTCATTTATTTACAATGACAATGTAGGTACTTATAATCACCCTTAACATGTGACATTTTTTTAAAAAAAAGCAAGATACATATAACATTCTAGCCAGATCAATCAGGCAAGGGAAAAAATAAAAGGCATCCAAATTTGAAAAGAGAAAGTCAGATTATTTACTAACAATATGATCTTATACCTAGAAAACTTTAAAGACTCCTCCAAAGACTCCTAGATTTAATGAGTGATTTAGTAACATTTCAAGATACAAGATCAATTTACACAAATTAGTAGCATTTCTATACACCAATAACAATCAAGCTTAGAATCAAATCAAGAAGTCAGTTCTGTTTAGGATAGCTACAAACAAAACAAAACAGAACCAACACGAGATGCCTAGGAATGTATTTAACCAAGAAGGTGAAAGATCTCAACACAAAATATTGATGAAATAAATTGTAAATGACACAAACAAATGGAAACGTCCCATGCTCATGGATTGGAAGAATCGATATTGTTAAAATGGCCGTATTGGCCAAAGCAGGGTAATCTACAGATTTAATGCAGTTCCTATCAAAATACCAACTTTATTTTTAACATAATTAGAAAAAACAATTCTAAGATTCATATTAGCCAAAAAAGAGCCCAAATAACCAAACCAATTCTGAGCACAAAGAACAAAGCTGGAGGCATCACATTACTGGACTTCAAATTATACTACAAGGCAATAGTAACCAAAACAGGATGGTTCTAGTATAAAAATAGAAATATAGATCGATGGAACAGTATAGATAATTCGGAAGTAAAGGCACTTACCTGCTGCCAACTGATCTTTGACAAGGTTGACAAAAGCATACATGGGGAAGGGACGTAGTATTCAATAAATGGTGCCTGGAAAATGTGGATTGCCATATGCAGAAGAATGAAACTGGAACCCTCTTTCTCACCATATACAAAAATTAACTCAAGATGGATTAAATACTTAAATGTAAGACCTGAAAATATAAAAGCACTAGAAGAAAACCTAAACAAAAACTTTTCCGGACATTGGCCTCAGCAAAGAATTCATGACCAAGACCTCAAAAGCAAATGCAACAAAACCCAAAATAGACAAATGGGACTTGATTTAACTAAAAACTTTTGCACTGCAAAAGAAGTAACAAGCCAGGCACAGTGACTCAGGCCTGAAATTCCAGCACTTTGGGAGGCTGAGGCGGGGCAGATCACCTGAGGTTGGAAGTTCAAGACCAACCTGACCGACATGGAGAAACCCCATGTCTACTAAAAAAAAATACAGAATTAACTGGGCATGGTGGCAAATGCCTGTAATTCCAGCTACTTGGGAGGCTGAGGCAGGAGAATCGCTTGAACCTGGGAGGCGCAGGTTGCAGTAAGCAGAGATCGCCATTTCACTCCAGCTTGGGCAATAAGAGCAAGACTGTCTCAAAAAAAAGAAAAAAGAAAAGAAATAACAGAGTGAACAGGCATCCTGCAGAATGGGAGAAAATATTTGCAAACCATACACCAGAAAAGGGACTAATATCCAGAATCTACAAGGAACTCAGAATGGCTATTATAAAACAAACACAACAACAACAACAAAGCCGAGACTATTGGCAAGGATGTAGAGAAAGGGGAACACTTAGGCTCTGTTGGTGGGAATGTAAATTAGTGCAACCTTTATGGAAAACAGTATGGAGATTTCTCAGAAAACTAAAAATAAAACTATAATTTGATCTAGCAATTCCACCACTGCGTATATACCCAAAGGAAAAAAATCATTATATCAAAAAGATACCTGCACTTGTAGGTATCTTTGGCACTATTCAAAATTGCAAAGATATGGAATCAATCTAAGTTTCCATCAGTGGACGATTAGATAAAGAAAATGTGGTGTATAGCTATACATGTATATTTAGCCATAAAAAAGAATGAAATCATGTCTTTTGCAGCAACATAGATGGAACTGGAGGCCATTAAGTGAAATAACTCTGAAAGTCAAATACCACATGTTCTCATTTGCGAGAGCTAAAAAATGTGTACACATTGACATAGAGAATAGAATAACAGACACTGGAGACATGGGAGAACGGGAGGGTTGGGAGGGGAGTGAGGGATGAGAAATTACTTAATGGGTACAGCATACACTACTTGGATGGTGGTTACAGTAAAAGCCCAGACTTCACCACTCTTTAATACATCTGTATGTCAAAAGTACACTTGTATCCCCAAATTTATATGAATAAAAAAATTAGCCTCTGAATTTGGAACTCGAGACTTTGATACCCTAAGAATATATCTCTATTTTGATTTGTATATTTCAGAATTAGCAAGTGTATATATTTTAAGTCGCTTATAGTTTTCAAAAGAAACACTTTGTGCTTGTGGTGCTGTGGCTTCTATATATGGATTGAGTAGAACATCATATAGATGCCCTTCTCACAGTAACACAGTTGTAGGATAACAAACCTGTAATTAAGAAGGAGTGTTGTATAAAACTGAATTCAATGCAGTTAGCTTATTTTCTTGTTCCAAAATGTATCAAATATCAGCTAATATAAGATGTTTACTTGAAGGACAAATTCCTCAGAAATGCTCACAGAGGCTAGATGAAGATCAGTCCTATATATCATTAAATCCTCTTTCGGTATTTTAACATTCATTCTTTGAATCTGATTTCTCCTCTTCAGCTTTTTCAAATGTGTTTGAATTAAGATCATTAATTTGTTTATCAAACTTATAAAATGGAAAAGAGGGTCCCAAGGTGGGTGCAGTGGTGCAGATGTGTAGTCTCAGTTAACTGGGATGCTAAGGAAGGAAGAATGCTTGGGTCCAGGAGTTCAAGGATCCAATGCACTGTGATGGTGCATGTGAATAGCCACTGTACTTGAACATGGGTAACATGGTGAGATCTGGTCTCTTAAAAATAAGAGGGTTCTTATGGAAGGAATTTCTTTCTTTCTTTCTTTTTTAAAGGCGGAATCTCACTATGTTGCTCAGGTTGGAGTGTAGTGGCTATTCACAGACGCGATCCCACTACTGATCAGCACGGGAGTTTTGACCTCCGTTTCCTACCTGGGCCTGTTCACCCCTTCTTATGGAAGGAATTTCTTATGGAAAGAAGTAGTCAATGCATTCTTAAAATCAGATAATGTGTTTTATTAATACAGGGGTTGGTGAATCAAATCTAGGTCTTTAAGTTTTGTTCTGTATTTTGCTCTGTGTTTTTTCAGCCCTTTCAGGGGAACAAACTAAACCTCTGCCCCAATTTCTCCACCATGTGGATAGAGCAATCACAACACATTTTGGGGTCCTAGTCCATTGGCAGAATATAAGTATTTTTAATGTGAACTTGAATTAAAAATGGCTTTTTGAAATGAGCAAAAAGCTCAGTGCAGTGGCTCATTCCTATAGTGACCCTAGAGGCTGAGGCTTGAGGATTGCTTGAGCCCAGAATTTTGAGGCTGCAGTGAGTCATGATCATGCCACTGCACTTTAACCTGGGCAACAGAGCCAGACCTCCACTTTAACAAAAACATTGTCCCTTTTTTTTTTGAGAAAGGGTCTCACTCTGTCTTCCAGGTTGGAGTGCAGTGGTGCGATCTTGGCTCACTGCAACCTCCACTTCCCTAGCTCAAGCGATTCTCATGCTGCAGCCTTCCAAGTAGTTGTGATTACAGTGTGCATCACCATGCCCGGCTAATTTTTGTATTTTTTATAGAGACAGGGTTTCACCATGTTGCCCAGGCTGGTCTCAAACTCCTGACCTCAAGTGATCCAGCTGCCTCAGCCTCCCAAGGTGCTGGGATTACAGGCATGTGCCACGACACCTGGCCCCTAAAAGTTTTCCAGAAGAGAAAAAATAGAAACCACTCCTGTCAAAATCACAGTCCCTGTCTGGGGTGAATTTTTCTCATCTGTAAAATGAGAAGCTTAGAAGAGATGAAGGCTAAGCTTCATCCCTTCCAATTCCAAAGGTCTATGCTTCTATTGTTTGCAACAGACTTTTTGAAACCTGGCAGGGCAAAACCAGGCAAGATCCAACTGCAGCCCCTTAAGAGGAACACAGAGGAGCCTCTTAATTTCTTGGGCTCAGCAACCATTTTACCTCAGAATATCATTTTAGTCTTCTGGCTACAGAACTGAATTTCCAACCTGAATCACACGAATCAATGTCCGAGTGAATCAGGCATTCTTATTCAAAATATACATGTGAACATATATTTTAAAAATAAATCTATATAATACACCAATATTTAAAATTTCCCAGAACAAAATTATTTTTTTTTTTGAAACGGAGTCTCGCTCTGTCACCTGGCTTGAGTGCAGTGGCTTGATCTCGGCTCACTGCAACCTCCGCCTCCCGGGTTCAAGTGATTCTCCTGCTTCAGCCTTCCGAGTAGCTGAGACTACAGGTGCATGCCACCACGCCCAGCTTTTTTTTTTTTTTTTTTTTTGTGACGGAGTTTTGTTTTTGTTGCCCAGGCAATGGTGTGATCTCAGCTCACTGAAACCTCCGCCTCCTGAGTTCAAGCAATTTTCCTGCCTCAGCCTCCCAAGTAGCTGGAATTCTAGGCATGTGCCACCACGCCCAGCTAATTTTGTATTTTTAGTAGAGACAAGGTTTCTCCATTTTGATCAAGCTGGTCTCGAACTCCCAATCTTAGGTGATCCACCCGCCTCGGTCTCCCAAAGTGTTGGGATTACAGGCCTGAGCCACCATGCCCAGCCTAATTTTTGTATTTTTTAGTAAAGATGGGGTTTCATCATGTTGGCCAGGGTGGTTTTGCTCTCTTGACCTCATGATCTCCCACCTCTGCCTCCCAAAGTGCTGGAATTACAGCTTTGAGCCATGGAGCCCAATCACAAAATGTGAAGGCACAGTGACTCACAGCTATAAAAGGGAGGATGGGCAAATGGATCATCATGTATGCCTCTAATCACCAGTTACTTGGAAGGCTGAGACAGGAAAATCATTTGAGCCCAGGAGTTCAAGGCTGCAGTGAGCTATGACTGTGCGACTGCCCTCCAGACTGGGTGACAAAGCAAGAACTTGTCTCTAAAAAAAAATAAAAAATAAAATTTTCTAAAAAGGATTAGCAAATATCTCTCAATCACAAATTGCTTTTATTCCTGGGAATAAGACAACACCTCCAAATACAGCATTCAAAGATGCCTCTTGCACTTTCAAAAGATCCTTATTTCTGCCATGATGCAGCTAATTTAAGAATATGTACATGAGGCCTTTTTTTTTTCCTTCCTTCCCTCCTTCCTTCCTTCCTTCCTTCCTTCCTTCCTTCCTTTCTTCCTTCCTTCCTTACTTCCTTCTTCAAGAAAAAAGGTCACTAGTAGATTAGACTTTAATGTTTCAAGAGATTCTTTGGCATAGAAATTATTTTCAATGCTCAGAATGATGGAGGAAGCGAAGATAAATGGGAGAGAAAATGGTTTGGATATATTTAGAAATAAAGATCTTCTAAAATAGCAAACACAAAAGGAGAACTAGTGGTAAATTTTACATAATTGTTGAAGATATTTAAAGGCTTGTTGTCTTTCTTCACTTAGACCAAATGATGTTTTAAATTGTTAAAACTCAAAATACTTAATTTATCCTATATGTACTTTACATGCATTAAATTATTATGTAATAATGATTTTCTTGAAGATTCTGTCAGCAACACAGCAATGGTAAATGCATGGTACAAGACCTCATATTATAAATCATACTTAATGTACAGTATCAAAAATAAATCAAATCTACAACCTAACAACCAATCTGAAATCTAACTTCTCCCTGGAGGAATGAGATTTATTTTAATTATAGGTAATTGATTAGGTTTAATAACCAATTTAGAAAGCTTCAGTTTGCCAGCAATCAAAGTTATAACTGGGGCATACCAGCAAAAGCAAAAGGTAGCACTGGAATTAACACACAGACTCAAATATTAGTTCACCCACATTCTGCCTACTACCCCCATTCTCCTCCTGAACTACACCCCCATGTGTCTTTTGCATACAGAGCTCTCTTTGAAACCAGCAAGTGTTTCATGCGTGGGAAATCAGGGGAATCAAAGCTACCTTATACAAAAGCATATGGTTAGGAGGCCAGGGGATGCTGAAAAACACTGCATACATACTTACAGTCTTCCTGTGGGGAGCTCATCTGACTATGAGACCCTCAAGTTTTGCATTTCTTGTGCCTATGGTGTTTAAATTGGTGGCCTCAATTTTATAACACGTTTGTTTTCACATTTAGTTCCCTGGGATTTTTTTAAACTGACTTTGACAAAAAGGAAAAAAAGAAAAAGAGAGTGCAAAATAGGAAAAGAAGGCAGGGAGTGGGGAAAAAATAAATCATTATGCAGCTCTCAGCCTCCACAGGGAAACAGCAGTACAAACCCACAGATCCAGAATTGTCAAGCAATGGGGCTGTTTGTTTACAAGTCACAGAATCAGTTATGTAACTAGGGAAGTTAAAGAAACCTAGTGAGTGTGCGAGAGACGGATACTTTTGAAATAGTCAAGAGACTTCATCTCTGAAATAGATTCATACAGATGTTCTGTTTTCTTATTTTTGGGTTGCTCTATAAATTTAGTTTTTGAGTTTTCCATGTAGATAATGACCCTTTGTTCTTTATTATTGTTATTAGATACATTAAAACACTTTCTTACCATAGGAGTTGCTAAAGTATCAGCATGCATTTTTAAGGGAAATTGGAATAGCTTTTTATCTTCTGATGTATTATATTGGTGAAAAAGTAATTGCAGTTTTTGTCACTGAAAGTAAGGGCAGAATCTCAATTACTTTTGTACCAATCTAATAGAATTCCTGTCTGATTTAGCAGGAAAAATTTACTACATGATCAATGGATCATTCCAATTTCTGTCCACCCTTTACCCCATAACTTCTTTAAAAAATTGTTTTCACTTTTATTCTCAAAGGAGGTGATCTTTTTTTTAATTGATGGGTTTTGTTGTTGTTGTTGTTGTTGTTGTTGTTTAAGTTCTGGGGCTATATAGTGTTAATAAGATGCAGACCTTTAAAAATATTTCCATGTAAGCCAGGAACAGTGGCTCACCCTTGTAATCCCAACACTGAGAGGCTGAGGCAGGAGGATCATTTGAGGCCAGGAGTTTGGGACCAGCCTGAGCAACATAGCAAGACCTCATCTTTAAAAATATAAAATGTATTTCCATGTAAATAATTTCTTTTAGGTCTGAGACGGTGTAAAAATTTCAACTCTAAAGAAAAAAATTTAGAAAATCAAATGATTTAAATAAATCATCATATTGGGTTATAGTAAATTTCACAAATAAGTTATTCTCAACAAAGGTCTTAGATAAGAAAGTTTTTATGATCTCTTTAGTTAATATCTGCATTTATATTTAATACACTTTAAAAATGTGATTTTTTTTTTCCCTGAAAACTTATAGCCACATTTCAGTGCTGTATTGGTAAAAATGGGGATCAACTCTGAAAGAGTGTAATTAATCAACTTCTGATAGCACATTAAACTCAAACTATTGAGGTTGCAAAGTCAGTAAATTTATGAGACATTGTTTTTCTTTCTCATTCAGCTAACTCATTCTTCAGTGGGGTCAGTTTGGTGTCATATGTTACTCCCATGGGGAAAAATCCTAAGGGGAATGGTGGAAAAGAATTATGTTTTTCACCAGGCAGACAAAAGCCCTGAATTCGGTCCCTCAGGAATCTTCTCAGGGTGTTTTCTGCTAGTGGTACCACAGCCCTGTGATCGAGAGGGAACTACACCATTGAGACTCAATACCCAGAAGGCTGCTGAGCTCATGTTCCTGCTACAATAGACACTGAGAATAGGGATTAAGCCCTCATTATTCTTTAGAGGTATGTAAGGAATGGCTATTTTGTTTCTGTTTAATTACAGTCTTGGCATAGAGCAGGACATTTAGTGGCCTATGTCCTTCTGCCCAATTTAAAGGTAGGGCTGAGCTGATTCACTATCTAGAGATGAGTAGTGCAATGAACTGCAATTAAAAAAAAAAAACCTCTGCTCAGGGAGAATGTTTCAATAACTTATATGTTCTCAGGCTAGCAGCATCGTAAAGCCTCTGTAGTTGATGATCTGATATTTACTATCTTAGAACAGTGGTATGAATTAGCCAAAGTCTCTCCATTTATTTAGTTGTCAGTGAATGCTAAATAGAAATAAATGAGTCAAAATTAAAGGAAAAGATGGATATCAACTTGACATGGACTTCTCTGAATTACTATTTCAAACACTTGGGTCCTTCTGGACTTTAAAACCATATTTTTTCTATAATGGACAAGAAAGATGATTTATGCAGTTTATTTAGAGGTAAATTTTGTGGACAAAATTTTATACACATCCATACAATACGTGGGTTATAATCATTGTTTAAAAAAACAATGATAGCATACATAGGTGCCTACAAAGTTTTTATTTAAAGTGTCAGGATCTCTGTCACCCAGGCTAGAGTGCAATGTCATGATCATGGCTCATTGTAACCTTGAACTCCTGGGCTCAATCACTTCTCCCTCCTCAGCCTCCCAAGTATCAGGGACTACGTGCACATGCCAACAAGTCCAGTAAGTTGTTTTTTATTTTTTTCAAGATGGGGTCTTACTATGTTGCCCAGGTTAAATTTTAAATATTATCTTTATTTTTTTCTTGCCTGCTGCCCAAAGCCATAAGAAAATGTATCATTGTCATTTAAAATGAAATCACAGTTATAATAATACTTTACTAATAATATTTTAATTTAAATATGGAGCTTAAACTTTCAAAGCATTCATAGATATGTAGGCTAATTTATTAATTATTAGAGTTCATTAGTACACGTAGTTCGATCCTCTGAGATGTGAAATGGCAATGATATGTACTTGTCTTATTATTAAGTGAAGGTGGGATAGATTTTAGATATTTCAAAAAATAAGTGTACTTTATTTCTGTTTATACAGTAGTCCCCCCAGCCCCCTGCTTATCCATGGTTTCACTTTTCATGGTTTCAATTGCCTGACATACAATACAACAAGATATTTTGAGAGAGAGAGACCACATTAACCTTTATTACAGTATATTATTATAATTATTCCATTTTTTTATTGTTAACTTCTTACTATGCCTAATTTATAAATTAAACTTTATCAAAAAGTTATGCATGCATAGAAGAAAACAGTATATATGGGGTTCTGTATTATTTGCTGTTTCAGGCACCCAGTGGGGGTCTTGGAATGTATCCCCCCATGGATAAGGGGAAACCACATACTTCAATACAAAGTTAAAAAGCCTCTGACCATATAGTATTCATGTTAATTTGGTATTAAAAAATCACTAAAACTGAGTGAACTAATTTTCAAAGAAAAGATATGTGTAGCTTTTATTTCTTCAAAAAAAATCTATAGAAGTGTTTTTTAAGAGTGATTTAAAATTACTTGTCTTTCAAGGTAACTTTTAACTGATGATTTGGGGGCACTCCTAAGTTATCTGGGGTACAACTGAGATTCCATTAGAATATCTTGGTTTAGGTTGGGCATAGTGGCTCATGCCTGTAATTCCAGCACTTTGGGAGGCCAAGGCAGGAGAATCGCTTGAACCCAGAAGTTCAAGACCAGCCTGAAAAACATGGTGAGATCTTTTCTCTTAAAAAAAAAAAAAATTAACTTTTAAGTTCAAAGAGAGAGAATAGGGATAAAGAAATGAAGAAATTCCTATCTGTAGAGGGCATCTTTAAGTCTAACTTCTTGGTGGTGTCTGAGGTGGCAGAGAAAGAATGGCATCTGGGGTTTGATTCTCTGCACTGTTATTTAAGTTCGCTGAACCTTGGTTTCCTTATATATAAAATGAGAATGTTGTTTTGAAAAGCAGGTGCTTAGTACTATTATTGTAGGCAAAGGAGTTCAACTAAATGACTTCTTGGGTTTCTTTTAAATGCTAGAATTAAATAATTGTAAAATAGGTGAACCAAATTTCCTTCATTTGTGACTAGTTTAAAATGCCACCAAAGATGGCAGAATAAGCCATTAAAATGGCTTTTATAGAACTTTCTTCCTTTGGCTTTTATCAACTATAAATTAAAGCTATTCTATTCATAGTCTAAAGCTGAGGAAATAAGCTTTTGTAACCTACTAATATTTTCACTCCGGGAAAATAGTTGTTCTTAGAAAAGCTAAAATGGGCCATGCATGGTGGCTCACGACTGTAATCATAGCACTTTGGGAGGCAGAGGTTGTTGGATCACCCAAAGTCAGGAGTTTGAGACCAGCCTGGCAAACATGGCGAAACCCCATCTCTACTAAGAATACAAAAATTAGCTGGGCATGGTGGTGGGCACCTGTAATCTAAGCTACTCAGGAGGCCTGAACCCAAGAGGCGGAGGTTGCAATGAGCCGAGATCATGCCATTGTACTCCAGCCTAGACAACAAGAAGGAAACTCCGTATCAAAAAGAAGAAAAGTTAAAATATTCCTACACTTAATCCTACTGTTGGAAGTATAAAGATTTGTTATATTTCTTGCATGAGTTGAAAAAGCAAGGACTATTTCAAAACTTAAAGCAATGATCTGGTGCCATGTAAATGTTAAGTTATATATCACCTGAGGACCTTAATGGAGCACATAATAAATACTAATTAATTTAACCAACACCCCTGTGGTAAACACATTATTTCCCTTCCTCCCCTTTGAACAGGCAGGGAGTCTAAGATTCTATGAGACCAAGCAACTCACCCTGGG